ATTTTCTCACGTTTTAATCTCTCGCAAAGCTGGCGAATAGTTCGTTTTTGTAGCATACTTTTACGGGTCACGGAGTCCGTAACTTTGAATTTGTGGGAATCAAAATCTGTAAGGCCCAGCTGACTGAAGCCCCCAGTGAAAGACAAAAGCCAAATACACACACACACACACGCATAGCTAGGTGTTTGTGTGTATGTAACCAAAAAATTGTAAAACTTTTATTACCTTAGAGCAGGACACGTTCCGAAGGGAAAACGGAAAGTGCTAAAATATATTGCATATACGTATACACGTGCATGTGTGCGCCAGTCTCTCTCTCTCTCCCGCTCTGAATGTGTGCGAATGTTTTTGTGTGAATGTGATTTGTGTGCGTCTGCGGGTCCTCTTTCGCTGTGTGTAACCTACATTTTAAACGGCATCGGCATCGCCGACACATAAGAAGCCAAAAGCCGTGGCCGAAACCAAGTGGGCGGGAGCCTGGGGGCGGTGGGTCATTTCGGCGTATGTAAATTTGCCTTTATCAGTGCCTAAAAGTAGGACCCCCACACACACACGCACACGAGTGCAGTTTCCGCAAAGTCCTATGTACCGCTAGAAGCAACGCTACTCTCTAGGGGCAGGCGCACCGCTCTCCCGCTCTCTCTGAAATTCTCTTCTCGGAGAGGGAGAGAGACAGTAAGATTGCCAGGCTTCGGCGATGCAGAATGCAGGATGATGTTTGCGTTCGTTGCTTCCGTTACCGTTACTGTAACGCTGTCCCTCTCCCTTCCAACCTCCCGTACGCCCAAGTACACACACACAGACGCAGCAGGATGTGCGTTCATTCACATTGGCATTGCAAGTGTGGGCACTCGAAAAATAAGCTATTTTGGGCTACGTGGAGTAAGGAAGGTTTATGAATCCAAAAGGAATGGGAATATTAGAATGCATATACAAAATTGGCATTTAAAATTATTATTTATTTAATAATTTCTTTAGTCAGGCATTAAATATTACTCAAATCCTAATTTCAAATTATTTGTTAGTATTGTTGGACATTGAAACTAGTTACATAAATGTCAATTACATTAAATGAATTTGCTACTAAAAATACTCAAAACGAAATCTATAACCTAACTGTATGCAATACAATAGTGATTCTGCCTGACAGAAAATGAAATTCGAAGGCCCCTTTTTAGTATTCCACTGTAGTGTATGCAATGTCCACTAAGCCGGTGCCAATCCCTTTCATTCTCGGTTGCGCTTGTTATTGGACTTGCATTTCCGCTATGCCGCTTTTTGCCTCAGCCGGTGGAAATTTATATGCAAAGTGCTGGGAAAGGGATTGCATTATGCACATTTTAATGGTTCGCCGAGACATAAAAATACCTCGCACTTACATAAATTCCTCTGCTCTTTGCTAGTGACTCGCTCGCTTTCTCCGAGTCCTTTGCCCATTGTCCTGCTGACAAAAACCCCATCGCTTATGAACGTGTCGGTAATTACATAAACATTCTGCCCACCGTCGGGTTAGAAATATGCACGTATTTTTGTTTGCCAACTAAATGCCTTGTTAGAGAAAATTTCTTTGGAGTGCGGAAACTTTTAGTTTCCCTGCTCTCTGCCACTTTTTGCGGCTTCGAAGAAATGGAAAATAAATTGCCTCCGAGGAAATGCAAATTGTTTTTCAAATTATACATCCACAAGGAGGAAGTTTATGTCTTTGTTGGGCGTTTAAGATTGTTATCAAAAAAGTGAGCAAGGGGAAAGTCCTAAAAGCCTGATATATGAGCCAAATATTGTTAAAGATATAAACTTGGAAGAAATATAACTACAAAACACAACTTAATCACAGTTCCGATATATAAAATAAATTCGTGATATATGCAGAATGAATGTCTCCCAATTGAAACGATTTTCCACTTAGGACTTAAATCGGCTTCGTTCGTACAAATTTCCAATTCATTGAGCACAAGTCTGTGCCCCTTCAAATTTGCATTGCAAAACATGTAAATGTCAAAAGCAGTATCTAAAATGTGACGATCTGCTTCTCAAAGGTGCCCATCAACGTCAGCAGCCACACCTACAATCTGCATATATCGGGCACTTGCCATCATCAGCACATCATTGTAAGTGCTAACAAGACCAACACCACCGACCGCCATCATCCTGTCCGTTATCATCCTCGGAGGCAAACCATATTCCATTATAATTCCCGCCGCTGCGTCCCACTTTATATCCCACTTCTGGCTATTTTTATGCCATTTCTGCACTGTTCATTGTTTAGCGCACATTATCGCATTTTCCTCTTAAGGCATCAGCCACAGCCACAGATATTACAGCAGCCTTATCCCCCTGCCCCCGCCACCACCACCATCTCTTTGGTTCTACGTCAGCCATCGTCTACAATTGCAAATGCTGTTAGTGTGGTGTAATACCCTGTACAAGCTGGGGATCTGTGCGCTATTACTAAATATATAACAAATTTAATGCATAATTTTAGACACCTGCGTAGATGTAGATACATACACCGTATCTAGTAGATATATGGCATATCTAGTAGATACATAGTATTTTCGATGTTTTTCAACATGGTTTTCATTTCCTGGTTAGATATTGATTCTGGTCATTCCTACCTCAGATTTCCGGCGAACCCATTAACCCTGCTGATCTGGTGGTTTGGTTGTAAGGGGAAACTAAAACGATGATTCAGATTGTTGCCACACTTGGCTCACTAAGCGGCACAGCGGGTGTCACAAGAGGAAACAACTGTGTGTGTGTGTGGGTGTGGGAGTGTCTATGAAAGTGTGCCTTCGCGCCACCAACACACTGGAAGATTGGATCTCTCTCGGGCAAACACAAACACTTGGATGCGGAGTGGCTTTCATCTGGGCCGCAGTGCACTGGATACACGGGATTTCTGTTGGCAATGCCACTGCCAGAATGTCGGCATTGAAATCGAAAACAATGGACCCATTGTGGCAGCCGATGGCGCTACTCTGCCTCCTCTCTTTTCGTTATCCTTTCGCCAGTAAATGATTGTCGCCTGTGCGCATCAGTAATTAAGTGTCCCTGTGCATTTATGTCTACATGTATGAGTGCATAATTACTATTTATAGTTGCTATTGGCTTTCTTCTAAATAGAAACACAATGCGCCAAAGCGTTTGGAAATGTAAATGTGAGCTCCTAAAGTATGCAGCAAAATGCAGCTGGCTTAAAATTGTCTAAATTCCATACATTTGGTGTACTAAGCCACTAGAACCATTTTTCCATTCTGCTGCGGCAGATTTGAATGTTTTGTTCAAGGAATTTTAGTTATAGTTTCTTTTCGAATTTTAAGTGTACAGAAAAGGATAGTAAAGATTTGTACCTTTCCGAAAGCGAGTTAATTAAAATACAAATTTGATTTAACGATCTATTACAGAATATATATAATATAGAATATATATTCTTTAAGCGTTTTAAGGCAAGCCAGTCAGCAAAGGTACAACTAAGTACTTTTGGTGTAGGATGAATCGTCTTCTTCATCTTTGTTTTATTTATGGAGTGTATGTACAGAATACCACATATGATAAATGCCCAAATTTACGTAGATTTTACAAGATATCTTGTGGTCCTCTTAAAAGTGTGTAATGGTTATGACCGATTTAACTTTTTTGCGAGCTGCTTAGCCTGTGCGCTTGCGTTTGTTGGCAGCAGTATTGGCGTTCTTCTTGGCTGCCACAGGTGTCTTCTTCTTTTGGGCAACAGGTGTTTGCTTCTTGGCGGGCGCAGCTGCCACTGCCTTGCGTTTGGGCTTAGCGGTGGTGGAGCGTTTTGGGGCCAAGGTGGTGCGCCTGCGCCGTCTATTCTTGCGGGCTGCGGCTTTCCTGGCTGTATTTGCCTTGGCTGGAGTTGAATTTTCTGTCGAAACGGCGGCGGAACTACCGACAGAACTTTCTACGGAGCTAGCTATGTCAGTTTCAGAGCTATCGGAAGCTTGGGTGGAGGAGCTGTCCTCGGAGGCATTAGTATCTGAGTTTTCCGACGAGCTAGCTGTGTCAGTCTCAGAGCTATCGGAAGCTTCGGCGGAGGAGCTGTCTCCGGAGGCACTAGTATCCGAGTTTTCCGACGAGCTAGCTGGATCATCTTCTGAGCTACCGGATACGCCAACACTGCTTGCTGTACTGCAGTCTTCATCATAGTCGTAATAACTGTCATCACAATAGTCGTAATAGTCAGAGTCATCAGCACTCGCTACGAATGCAACCAATATGACCAGGCCTGAAACCAAAAGCAGCCTCATTTTGTCTATAGAGTCAACCAACAGATAGGTAACCTTAGGTATAAACTTATGAGGTTAAAACTCTGCAAGTTTTTTCTCTAGTTTTCCCTGCGCAGAAGAAATTGAAAAAGATATATAGCTTTCTTACATTCATTTCTATGTACAGTTGTACAATGTAAATATTTGTTTTTGAATTCCTCGTCTTAATTTTCAATGGCTTAGAACAGCTGTGTGTGCTACTTATATTTGTTTAACATTTTTCGGTTGAAATATGTTGAACTTAACAAATTATATTTCGTGTTAGAGTAGGAATAAGTAATATAAGCTCTTTTATATAAAAAAGAGTCAAGGTTATTCCGTTCACAAATGTAGTATCTGGATCTTTGAATAATTTCTTGTGTGGTTAAAATTAATTAAAAAGGTGAATGAGGTAAATAGTCGAATGACCTGCTAGTCGACTACACAGTAATCTTATAAATGTCCAAAATCATTTACATATAAAGTTAAACTCCTCAAAATTATTTCGCTCAAAAATAAACGATATATAACTTTTTGTTTTATCAAAGTGGAATTTTTAAGTATATAAAACAACACATAACGATATCAAATTTGGAAAATTTTGTATTGCCTTCTGGAAATCAGTTGGAATTTTTGAGTTAGTAAATCATATTGATAAGTAAATCATTATTAAATATAAATACAAACCCTCACTAATAATAAAAAACGAATTGTTTGGGATAGAAACGAGTTGTCTTCAATATTTTTTTATAATTTTAATTCTTTATAAATTGTAGCTATGATTACATGATCTGGTTTATCCAGAGCGCCTGCGTTTGTTGGCCACAGCATTTGCCCGCTTCTTGGCGGCGGCAACAGGTGTTTGCTTCTTAGCCGCCTTCTTGTTAGTATTTTTCTTGGCAGCGGCGGCATTGCCACGTTTAGCTGTTCCCTTATTCTTGTTGTTCCTCTGGTTATTCTTCTTGTTCTTGTTCTGGTTCTTATTCTTGTTCTTGTTGTTGTTGTTGTTATTTTTCCTGGCTCCAGGCCCCTTATTATTCTGGGCTACTGGAGCGGCAGTTGGTGCTTCCGTAACATCACTAGAGTCCTCATAGTCCTCATAGGAATAGTCGTCCACCCCAGAGTCGGTTGCACTGTCGACGTCAGTAACGCTGCCAGTACTGTCGACTCCAGATTCTGTAGTAGTGTCTTCGGATTCACCTGTGGTATCGTAGTCCTCATCCCCATCGTAGTAATCATCATAATAATAGTCTCCATCGTCAGGGGATTCAGTTGTCTGGGCCACAACCACGTGGGCTATCAAGACTGTCAGTGCCAGAACCAGAAGAAGTTTCATATTCGTTTTGGGGGTATGTAGTGATCTAAACGAAGAAAGCCTAATTCTCTGGTTTATATAGACACCGAGCATTCGAATCTCGTTTTTCATGAATTAAATGTAAATATTGTGAAATATATAAGTACACAGATACATTCGTTTACTTTGGGCCAGCTGTGTAGATGTTTTCTTTCTTTTAAATTTGTTTTAGAATTGTAGATAATTATCTTAACCCCTTTTTACCTGCCAAGACTTTATATAAATCGAGTATATATATTTCGCTTAATTTCGTGAAAGAACACAATTAAATGTTTGGCGGCTATACAAACATAAAATCGTTTTTTTTATCTGCACGTTTTCAAACGACTAGTCTGCGTGATTATTCCATGTGATAGCACGCACTACTCATATTATTTATGGTTATTTTAGTGAAAGAACAAATTTATATGTTTGACCTTTTTCCGTGCAATTTCAGCTCGGGATAACGAGCCACGACAGACCGTAAGAGGACCAACCCAGATTCGCAAAGTTCGTGCCATAAATCTGCAGTTTGCATGGAATTAATGCCCGACTAGAAGGCGGCGGCAGACGGAGGTGCTGCACATGCAACACACATTAGTGGGTCACTCGAAGATGATGACGCTGCTGACCGCAACCGCAACCGCAACCGCAACGGCAGAAGTAAAACCAACAAAAACAAGCCCCACTCGAGCCGATTTGTGGCAGCGGGGGCAAATTATATAAAATTATCATGCAGGGCAGGCAGCTAGCTAGTTGGCCACTCGACAACGGCAGGCGGGACAAGGCTAAACATCCTCATCAGCAGCAGTACCAACACCACTACCATCGCCATCACCACCATCACCACCAGCAACAACAACAACAAGGGCCGGCGACGTATACGTAATGTGCAGCATGACGTATACGTAATGTGCATCAGGGTTTGGCCAATTTGTCCAAGCAAGCTATAAACCACTGAGCCAGCGGAAAGAAAACGCAAACGAAAACCGAAACCGAAACTCGAGCTGCAAACCAAACATAAACTGAAACTGCTAACGACGCAAACGGAAACTTTTTGGCCAAATGGCGAAAGTTATCAAACAATTGCGAATGTGTTGAGAAGCGGCAGCCGGTGCGAAAATGACAAAATGGCGAAGTTAACGTTGCCTTGTCTACGGCGGCGACTGCAGCTGATGGCGCTGCAATTGCAACTGCAACTGCAGCCACAACAACATCAGCAACAGCAGCAGCAGCTGCATCCACACGGCTGCCACTTGATGGCCATGCAACTGGGCCAGGCCGTGCTCCTCTACGGCTGCCTCCTGCTGCTCCACGCCTCCGTGTCCGCCTCTGTCCTAGCCTCGTCCTCTGACTCGGCTGCCATCCCGACCCTGCTGAACATCTCCAGCACGGTGGACCTGGATGGAGCAGCGCCGCAGCAGCAACAGCGTGAGCAACTCGAGAAGCGCACGCGGAAGCGTGATGCCGCCAATGTGCCTGATGATGACGACTATGGCAGTTATCCAGACGACGTCGACGAATTGGAGGCCTTGCTTAATAATAAGTCAGGTGCGTTTAAATACTTTTAAATTATCAGAAACTTTTCAAAGCCGTTGGGAAATTATAAAACAAATGAAAAGAGAGAATAACTCATATGCGCCAAATTATTCCAAGTCCAACAGTTGATTTAACAGTTCCATTTTAAACTTTAAAACAAGGTAGAATGCTATAGTCGAGATCCCCGACTATAAGATACCCGTTACTCAGCAAAATTATACATAAAATGTTGGTTTTTTATTTCTTTCCCAACTGCACATTTGATCCCCATTGTGTTGCTTTAAGGGTTCCCAACAACTTTGTCAAAATATATACATACCAGTTACTTAATTAAGTCCTTAAATACAAGTACTTGCTGCGAAAACGTATCTGTGCGCTGCTTTGTATAATCCCATTTCGTAAATGAATATTTGTGGCTGCTGCACTTGCAAACCGAAATAAATGGAAGTTGTGTTGATAATGCACTTGGCTTGGGTTTGCATTGACCTTTGCCCGGTTGCGGAGCACCAAGCCCCCAAAACCGCCGAGATCATGAGAGCCATAAATTGCACAACATCCACTCGCCATTCGGGTCCTTCCCCAGTTGTTGTTTAACTTTTACTTTTGGCACGCCCTGTCCACCTGGCACCGCATCTGCCGCAGCAGCGGTTGCAACAGTACGAGTATGATTCACGGTCCCATCCATTTTATCTTGGCCATGATGCGGGAATCATAAAATACCAAAGCACACGCTGCTAGCCCATAGTAGGTTGGCCATGGCGGAAAAACATAGCTGTGTAAGCGGATAATATCTGATTTTAATGCAATTGATATGCGGTGCGCATTTAAATATTCAATTTTGAAGCAATTTGCATGTTGACTCACGTCAACAAATCTATTTTGGACATATTTTGGTAATTTTGGTTATTAATGTGCAAGAGGATTGCATTTCGTATTATAAGAAAATTAAATTTTGTGATTTTCGGTTGAGCAAACACTTTGAACTCTAGTACACATATGTACCTAATTATAGTGCATATGGATACTTTTCTCGGCTTGAATATTTATAATTAAATTTAAAATAAAAATTAAAATGTTTACCATTTACAATTTGATTTAAATACCAACTAAGAGGAATATTCAGATATGGTCTACCATCCGAAGCGGAATAAGTCCTTAAACTGAGCGCCAGGCTGTTGGTCGTTTTGATGGCCTGACATTAATTTAACATGCATTCTTTTAGAGTCGGGTTAATTGTTAATGCAAATTGGTTTTGCGCATTGCAGCTAAGGGGAAATATATTGGAGCGCCGTGCAACGAGCTAAAGTGTGACGTGAAGCTGCTGCACGTATCCTGCGACAAGGATACGCTAACCTGCAGCTGCGAACGCAACTACCCAGTGCAACTTGGACTGATAAAGGGTTGCGCCAAACGTAAGACGTTGCTTCTCAGCATGTAGATTATATACATATACATGTATATTTATTACCTCTTAATTGACAGCTAAAAAACTGGGCGATCAGTGTTTCTACGACGAGACCTGCATCTACAACGACGAGAACTCCCTTTGTGTTCAGGTGCGGCACAATGCGATGTGCCAGTGTGCCAGCGGGTTTCACTCGGTGAGCTACGTGAAGCCAACGCGCCGTGTCTTTTGCACTCCAGGTAATGTTCCTTGCCAAACTACATAGCTAATATATCGTAGCACACTTTTGAGCGCACAAAGTATAGGTAGCACTCACTACTGTTCCCTAAGATTGTTATGCCAATAATGCGAATGTATGTGGATCAATTTAATGTTTTGAAATGGCTAATTATAACATATATGCTTACGTAGGAATGTAGAACAAGATATTTGAATAATAAAGTAATTATATAGTGCTTAGATCATTACCTCTAAAAGAAATCATTTAACGCCTATAGATCTCAGCGAACTGAGTTCGGACCTGCCCACCTTGTTGGGCGTCTCCACGGGCATCGCGGTTCTGGCCGGGCTCATCTGCATGGTGCTGCATCTGTTCAGCAAGACGAAGTATCCGCGGCATCGAAATTACGGAGATGCCAGCATTCCGCCGCCCATTCTGTACTCCAGCGATACAGGTGAGTTGTTAGAACAATTGGACAAAAATCATCAAAAAGTAGTAGTAAACTATAATTTAGAATTTCGTTAGGGATTAAATAGCTTAGCAATCCATCTTCTTGTAAACTGAAATAGAACAATTGTATCATATATTATTATTAGTTTATGGGTATATAGTCTTTTCTTCTTTTTTGATATTTAGTGATCTCCATTATATACCTACTTCTTGCTTACTTCTTTGGTTAGCTTGTAGTTTATACTTATAGCTTACTCATAAATGTATGGCCTTGATTTCAGGGATACCGCTTACCGTTCACTCGGCGCGTCCGTCGTCGCGTTCCAGCATCCGGTCGACGGGATCGATTGGCTCCTATGGCAACCGACGAGCCTCGGCCGGCGGACTGGGCGGGGGTGCCGCCGGAGGCGTGGCAGGCGGGGCCGGCGGAGGAGGGGCGTCTGGAAGCGGCGGCTCGAAGGGCATACTGGTGTCGACGTCACGAACAGGTGCGGCTAGATCGGCCGCCATATTGCTCATATCGTGTCACATAGCGGCGGTGTCCAAACAAAATTCCCGGGCCTCGTCGCGGCACACATCCGGAGCGGGCTGCAGCCAGCATTCGCGGGACGACCTGGATGATGGTGGTGGTGGCGGTGGAACTGGGAGTGGGAGTGGGTGCCGCAGCTGCGAGAGCACGCTCTCGATGAACCGCCACCTGCAGAAGCAACTGAACCACCAGCGGCATCTGCTCAGCTTCGAGCTGTCGCCGGCGAGGTCGAGGAATCAGGATAGATTTAGGACATTGTTGGGCATGAATGGCATTGAGAATCACACTTTTGGGGGCAATGAGGATGAGGACGATGAGTGCGGTCCGCATAGCATAGAACCCAGCACAACAGTCCCTCATGCACATGATGCCCATGATGCCCATGCCCATGCCCATGCCGATAGCGATCCGGCTCATCCAGGTGCTGGTGCTGGTGGTGCTGGTGGTGCTGGTGGTGTTGGTGTTGGTGGCTACGGCTACGGCTATGGCCATGTCGGTGTGGTTGGTGGTTACGGCGATGCCGACACCAATGGCGGCGACTCCAGCGGCGGATTCGCCACTGGCGCCGAGCTGCATCACCTGCAAATTGGCGCACTGCCCACGCCGGCGAGTGAAACGCCACGATTTGCGGTAAATCAACTCAAGCATCAGTCATCCCGCATCCATTTGTACGATCTTGTGGTCTGCTCATACCCATACCCATACCCATCCGCATTCCGTATCGTCATGTCCACCCAAAAAATAGAAACACTTCCACATCACAACAAAAACAAAGTCAACTATATGCTAGTCGTATCTGTTCAATGGTTGCATCCTCTCCTGTTTAGAGATCAATCTCAAAGTCTGTGCTAGCCCTTAGTTTGTACTTTCATTTATCTTTCCCTGAACTCTAGATCTTTCAGTCTTTAGTGTACGACCTTTAAATTGTTGAATTGTTGCGTTTAAAAAATACAGACAATAGACTGCCGTATATTTGAATCCTACCATTATATTTACCATCTATAACCATCTATTCTGTGAAAGAAGTTAGATACATAATTGAAAATATATTGTGAGCTGAACTCTTTGTTTTATCAGATATTACATTTTGCAAAAGATGACCTCACATATATTTATCTCTTTATTATACGAGCAAAATGCAAATGCTAGACTCATTCCAAATGAAGTACTAACAAATTCGTTCTGTTAAATAGCATGGGAATCTGTAATTCAATTAGAAGAAAAAATTTCGGCGAATGGAATTTGATTATATGTTTTATTTATCATGACCGGAAAAACTCGACTACGGAATACTTGGTGTCTCATTTACATTGCTCAAAGGAATTTCCTCCCCTGCATAGTTATCAGAATTCGTAATAAAATCATGCCTCATGTTGCCATAATTAAATCGCGCAAATTTAGTTATTCACGTAATCATGTATCGTTAATTCAGCTCAGTTTATTTACAGTTGAAACTTAATTTGTGTACATTGGCGTTGGTTATCCCTATCCCCCTGCTTGTCTAATTAGTGTTTAAATTGACAACTTTGTCTAGTTAAAAACGATAAACTAAAAAACAAATTTTGCGTTTCTTGATGATCGATGTTAAATGTGCTTCCGAGCTCCCTCTGTTTCCAAATACCAAGTTGTTAAATTGTTTTACTTTTTCTATCGTTACCAAGACACACACACACACAAACACAACGCAATACACGCGCACAAAGCCACAAACTAATTATTAAACGTATAACTTATGTAAAGGAATTGTTGTTAAAAATCACGGATTCTAAGGATGATGAGTAATACATTTCGACAAGATGATATTGAAGCAATATGGCGGTGACTATGTTCATAGAAAATCTAACCAAACTTACACAGAAAACAATGTAATATAGCATAATCCCACACAATTTACTAGCTAATATATTCAACTATTGCAAATTACAACAAATTATACCAATCTGTCACATAGACACAAGAACACGCACACACTTGCAATTGCATGCATCCTGCTGGCAGCAAAGGATACTTGTCTGCCGGCAGGATTTTCCACGTCACTCAACCTCCGGCTGACCTTTGCCTGAACTTATTCGGTTGAGTCCTCGAAGCCCCTCACACACACACACACTCTCACAAACACACACACACACACACACAAATCGATAAACGATATGAAAATTTTCTTCCATATATGTTAATCCCGCAACTCTATATGTGAATGTCCTGCGCTTCTTGCTCTTCTTCTACGTCTTCTACTTTTCTTCCTGTGCGCCTTGAATTTTTCAACTAAAGATGACATCATTTTGAAAGAAACTTTTCGTGTATGAATTTCCTGTTTGTCTTCATTCTTATCGTACAAACCAGTTGCAAGCTCCTTGGCAAGTTTAGCGAATTGTTAGCCAACATTTTGGGACTAGATGTAGGGAAAAGGTCAATACGTGGGCACCACTTGTCGTATACGTAATTTAATCTCGAGTATTAGTTACATGTGTACATATGTATAAAAAAAGTTAAAGGAGAAAATTGTACATGTTGTATATGTTCTATATCGAACCTGGTTTAAAAACAAGTGCAACCAATAAGTTTAAATTTTAAAATTAATTAAAATATGTATTATTTGAACTGAGAATTTGTAAAAGATCGTCTTTAAAGTAAAATTACCAATTGCACACAGCTTTGAATCAAAATAATATAATTTGGAAAAAATCAGCAGTTTAGGAGTCTACAGATACTCGCACTCGCTTAGCTTGCTTTTCAATCGCATCGGAATGATCTTTCGCTGTGGCTTTGCATCGCTGTCGCCTTTCTTTCTCATATCTAAATTACTATCTTTCTCTACCACGCCGTTTCTTCTAACCAAAACGCTCCGATACTCACTCAGTTTTGATACAGCAACCCCATCCGAATGTCCCATTATCGATTCGCCTGACTGACCACCAACTGTTTTTCTTTTGGCTGCCTCGTCTTGTAGGTTCTCGAAGACCAAGTCTAGCGTCGGTGCACAGCACCAGCTCCTCGGTGCGCAGCTACAGCATGATGCGCTTCGAGAAGGAGACGCAGCAGAAGGAGATCCGCCAGGAGATGAAGCTGCGACTGGCCCGCCTGCAGCAGCAGCAGCATCTCACCCAGAACAAGCCGCAGATTGTCATTGGCGAGGCGTTGATGCAACACGGCGCCCTCAGTCGCGTCACCATGGCCACGCCCAGTCCCCTGACGCCCAACTCACTGGACGAACTGCTGCCATCGCTAGATGAAAACCAGGAGGTGAGTTGGAACACCTGGGCAATAAATGATAAATTCGAAATTTCCCAATGGATGTGTTTCATGGCTAGTAACTAACCCCTATCCACAGTATCCTCCCAGGCTGGAAGCAACCCTAAAGCAGTTCATACAGCCCCAGGCCGGAGGAGCAGGTTCCTCTGGAGCCGGGGCCGCCTTGAGGGCGGCTGCCTCCCAATCATCGCCAGGCAGCTCGAATGGATACCACGGCCCCTGCAGCTCTTCGACTGAGGCCCTATAAAGTTAGTGCATAAGTAGGCCCGAGTTCTTGTAAATTAGGTCGTAAGTAATCGAAGATTTCTCATCTAATTTGCGTAGTAGGCAAGGTGTTGCCATAGGAGCCCGTTGCAACTTAAAATTAATTCAAATTGAACGTCAAACGTGTTGTAGGCAGGCTAAGCTTAGTTGTAATATTAGGCGATAAGTGAGTTCCCAAAAACTAGGCAGCCTTTGTGTGTATTATAATGCGTAGCGGAGCAAATCGAAACATTTTATACGTGTGTGTATATTGTCATACATTTTTTGTAGAAGTTATACAAGGCCAAGTGTAAGGGGTTTTGAAAAAAGTGTGTAGTCCGATTTGAATTGCTGCTGAAGAATTGATATACCACTTGGCTTTTCACTTATCTAGATCAACATGAATTGATTAGCTTAAATTAGTCTAGTGTTTATCGTTAGTGTGAGATAGTACTGATACAATATACGCAATATGAATTTATACAAAATCGGTTTATACAACGGTAGTTTCTTGTAAATTGTACTCACGATGATAATTGATAATTGATAACTGATAATGATCGGAATATGCCAGATTGTTCTAGCTAAATCAATAATTACGTTAAGCCAACGCCACGAAATAAATCAAAAGTGTTAATAGATCAAAGTAAGACAACTTAAGCCAGGAAAGAGATGTTCTTTGGTTCTTTGTAGAAATAGTCATCTAAACGCATATTCCGATTGCTGGATGTGCATAGTCAATTTTAATTTACGAATTACGAATTTTTCTACAGAGGCGTTTCAACTGAATACAATAATCGAAAATGTGTAGATCAAATGTAAATTACTTACTCGATGGTAATATTATTTCATATTTGATACCAAGGTTGTTGACCGTAGTTGATGTGCTCTACATCGTTTGGTTCCATGATTTATCCTATCTATAGATCCGTTCTCAATAGTACGAATTGCAGCAGCTATAAAGATCGTTACATATACATCTATACAAGCACATACATAAGTATGTGCATATTTGTACTCAACTATGCTATACATACGATGAGTAGACACATATCTGGAGTTCGGTGTTGGTTGATGTTGGGAGTATATAGAAATAAATGCAATTTTGTGTTTTCAACAAGTCATCGAGTTTTACTTTGGCAATACCAATCCCAAATCTAATAAAAAATAAAACCCAACCGTTTTGAGCCTATTTTCGTATTAAAATAAGTAATTAGATCTCTCAAACACTTAAAATTTATTTGAGGAACGAAAGATTTTTCGAGATTCCAGCGATAACAAACAATTTTAAAATCAACTAGTGTTGCACTTCACTAATCAACCTCCTCAATGGTAGGACCCGAGCCACCAGTTGCTCCTGGACCGGAGCCTCCGGTGGGTGGAGGCGGTGCCATTCCAGCGCCCTGATACAACCTCGTGATGATTGGACTGCAAATCCTCTCCAGTTCCTGCTGCCTGTGCTCGAACTCCTGCCGCTCGGCCAGTTGATTGGCATCCAGCCAGGCAATTGTTTCACTGGAGCGCTGCTGGATGGTCTCCCGATCCGCAGGGGTAATCCGGCTGCTCAGATGCTCATCGTCCAGAGTGGAGCGCAGGTGGAAGCAGTACGACTCCAGCTGGTTCTTGGCATTGATGCGGTCGCGCTGCTGCTCATCCGCCTGGCGATAAGCCTCCGCATCATTGACCATCCGCTCGATGTCCTCCTTGGAGAGACGGCCCTTGTCATTGGTGATGGTGATACGGTTCTCCTTGCCGGTCGACTTCTCCAGTGCCGTCACATTGAGTATTCCATTGGCGTCGATGTCAAAGGTCACCTCCACCTGGGGCACTCCGCGTGGCGCCGGTGGAATGGCCGAGAGTTCAAACTTACCCAGGCTGTTGTTATCCCGCGTCATCGCCCGCTCACCCTCGAACACCTGGATAAGCACACCTGGCTGGTTGTCCGCATAGGTGGTAAAGATTTGCGTTTGCTTGGTGGGTATGGTGGTGTTCCTCTTAATCAGCGTGGTCATCACTCCGCCAGCGGTCTCAATGCCCAGAGACAGAGGAGTGACATCCAGCAGGAGCAGATCCTGCACTGCCTCCGATTTGTCGCCATGGAGGATGGCCGCCTGCACGGCAGCTCCATAGGCCACCGCCTCATCGGGATTGATGGACTTGTTTAGATCCTTGCCGTTGAAGAAGTCCTGCAGCAGGCGTTGCACTTTGGGTATCCTCGTGGAGCCACCCACAAGGACGATGTCGTGTATCTGGCCCTTGTCCATCTTGGCATCCCGCAGCGCCTTGGCCACTGGTTCCATGGTGCCACGGAACAGATCCCCATTCAACTCCTCGAACCGGGCCCGTGTCACCGCTGTGTAGAAATCGACGCCCTCGAAGAGGGAATCGATCTCGATGCTGGCCTGGGTGGACGAGGAGAGGGTGCGCTTGGCCCTTTCGCAGGCGGTGCGCAGGCGCCTCAAGGCTCGCTTGTTCTGGCCCAGATCCTTCTTATGTTTGCGCTGAAACTCCTGGACGAAGTGGTTCACCAGGCGGTTATCGAAGTCCTCGCCGCCGAGATGGGTGTCGCCAGCGGTGGCCTTCACCTCGAAGATGCCATCTTCGATGGTCAGTATGGATACGTCGAAGGTGCCGCCGCCAAGGTCGAAGATCAGGACATTTCGTTCGCTGGTGCCCTGCTTATCCAAGCCGTAGGCTATGGCCGCCGCCGTTGGCTCGTTGATAATGCGAAGCACATTTAATCCCGCAATGGCGCCCGCATCCTTGGTGGCCTGGCGCTGGGAGTCGTTGAAGTACGCCGGAACGGTGACCACCGCATCTGTCACCGAGTCGCCCAAGTAGGCCTCGGCGGTCTCCCGCATTTTCGTCAGCACCATCGAGGACACCTCCTCCGGATAGAAGCTCTTCCGCTCGCCCTTGTACTCCACCCGGATGCGGGGCTTTCCGTTCTCGGCGACCACCTCAAAGGGCCAATGCTTCATGTCCGACTGGACGGTGGCGTCGTCGAAACGGCGGCCAATCAGCCGCTTGGCATCTGCAAGTCAGAATCACTCGATCAGAATCCAATGAAACCACATCAGCGCACTTGGACAACATATTTACTTTATTAGCTAACATTTACGGGGTGGTGGGATAATATGTGGCATTGTGTCTGGAATTTTGGGCTTGTATTGTGTTTCTGGGCAGGTGTCTAGGCTTTCTACGAGGATTTCTATACGGACCCTGAGACTGAAATGAAAGTACAAGAAATAGAGAGAACGCTTGCATTAGATCTGCTCAGCAAATCCTTTGGATGGGTGCATGGAAAGTGTTTAGAGAAACGACTAAACTAATGCTGAATTACTATTTACATAAATGAAGAGAAATTATAGTTGACAAATTCACGCATTTTGGCTTGGTTAGAATGTTTGGGATATTTCAGTCTCTACACTGAGCATTTAGTTGGGGAATTACTAATACTCTCAATATTATATGTAAGTCCCTAAAATTCCCTGAATCATAGCTAAACTAACAATTACTCAAATTAATCTAGTTATATCATTCAGTGTTATTTATTTCAGTAGTTTCAATTTTCAGAGTAATATTTCAGAAAAAATTGTTCAGAAAAATATGCGACATTCCACAGCCATTAAAAATATTTATGCGAAAGCAAACATTTCTGACAATCCATAACAACTTGCACTGGGACGTATTTTCCTTTTCATTTATTTGGCCAACTCAAATGAGGCCAATAAACATGGCAACAGTTTTTGTTGGCACAGACCGACTTCAAATGCCATTGGCAGGGTGAAAATCCGCATCATAGTCCGCGCCCCGGGAGGCGGGAAAGCAGGCTGTAAGAACTGACACAACAAGTGGAGGTGTCACCAGGCCAAAGGAATGGGGTAGGCAAGGGGAATGGGAATGGATTTGGACTTTGGTGGGAGGCGAGATTCTCGCGCAATGGGAGTGAAATGCATTTTGGCGCCAGTGAGTGAGAATTTCTTAAAATAAACTTGAATGCGAGATAATAAAGAAAATATGCGCACAGTTCATTCATGAAAATGTTCGCAGTAATTAAAAGTGATCATTGCGAGACCCAGGCAGAGATCACAAAAAGAGATCTGTGGCAGGGCCAAGATCTGTGGACGAGACTCACCAAAGATCGTGTTGTTGGGATTCATGGCCACCTGGTTCTTGGCCGCGTCGCCGATCAGACGCTCCGACTCCGTGAATGCCACATAGCTGGGCGTGGTGCGATTGCCCTGGTCGTTGGCGATGATCTCCACCTTGCCATGCTGAAAGACGCCGACACACGAGTACGTGGTACCAAGATCAATGCCAACCGCTGGTAATTTGGGCATCTTGGCTGTGGCTTTAATTAGACCCCACCACCACGTCAAGGTCCCACCGAGAGATCGAGAACGAGAATCGGGCGAGCCGAATCGGAATAGAAATCGAAAATGAAATTAGACTCACTGTCTCCCCTTTTGGCCTGGTTACACAACGGACCCGATCCTCACCCAAATACCCCAGGCAGTCAGCGCTGGTCCTTTAGAATGCGAAGCGATATAGGTACAGGGAGATGATCAGGAACAGCAGCACAAAGGTCAGGACTCGGAAGAATTCGAGCGCCTTTTCTCTTTGCAGCTCCACAGCGTCTTCCGTTTGTCCTCAGGTTGCCACGATGAAATCCAATTGCTCCTGCCTGCTCCCGACTTCGCTTTCTAGTAGTTTTCCTTGGGTATTCCCAAACCAGCTATATATACAATATATGTATATATCGATCGCTAAAAGATTGCAAGATGCACGCGCCACGAATGCTACCAGAGAACTGGCAGCCCGAGTGTTGCGACAACCGATCCCTTGCCAAAATAGTTCGATCATCAACGAGGCTCTGCAACATAGCATCGAAATTATTCGGTTTCGAGATTGATTAAAATTTTCTCACCTGGCCGTGTTTTGTTCTTCATCTAGTAACAGCTAATCTGATATTTGCATTGAGGAACTACGTCACCGAAAACGAAACTCAAAAACTCGTATCTCATAAGTCTGATAGCCACATACACATAAGTAATACTTTCTTAATCGAACCACAAGGTAAACTTTTATTTTAACTCTTATAATCTGCTCAATTCAATCGCTTTACCATAATCATATAGAAATGATTGTTATAAATGTAAGTAAGTAAGTGCACTAATTCCGAATATCTGTTAGTATGCAAACAATAAAAGCGAGTATACGTATCAAAGTCAAGGTTATACATACATATGTACATATAAACTGTTTGGAATCCCATCTATTACTACAAAGCCTCCAAACTTTTGGCCTTCCAAACAGATGTTCTGCTCTTCACACACAACCAGAAACTTACATCCAATATTGCGCCATATAAATGTTCCACCTGAGAGGTTTAGACTTATTAAGTGCTGGACCATTTAGACAATTTCAACGATGAAGTACTTTGTGATCTGTGCTCTGGCTGCCATCGTTCTTTTCCAGGCCACAGCGGGATTCAAGCGGCGAGTGATCTACGTTGTACCAGCCCCCACAACGGACGCATCATCGAACGCCACCAGCAACGTAACCAACGGAACAAACGCAACCAACGGAACAAACGCAACCAACGCGTCTGCTACGAGTCCCAGTAGCGCAAATCCTGCCGTGACTTACACGGTGGTCTACTGTTCCTGGAAGAACAACTGGTGTCGTCCCGCCTCGAACACCGTGAGGAATTGCAAGTGGGGCATCTGCAAGTTCAATGGATAAAGTACAGTAAAAAACGTTGAACACATGTTTAGCACAAATCTCTTGGGTTTTATTTGAAAGTCTGGCTTGGTCAAAAAGAGACTTGCTGGAACGGTTTCATTCTTAACTTGATACTGGGAAAACCACACGGATCTGACCCGATGCATTCATTATAAGGCTCATATGAAAGCGTTAGCAAAAATAATAATCCATACTAGTCTTAGTGGCTAACTAAATTCGATCCATGCAAATCATCACCGAATAGGATTAAAGCTTAATGGGTTAGCGCTAGGATACAAAGTAGAGGCTTGGTTTGGATTAGTTAGATGGTTATTGGTAAGTTGATGAGGATGAAACAATACTTGTCCCCATAGAAGGGTGCTTACAGATTAAACTAATTCTATACTAGGGTTAAACAATGCGCACTAAACTTAACTTAGGATATGCATGTGTGATGGACAAATGCCTCAATAGATTGAAGATTTATAGGATTTGAATTTTTGCACAATACGGCATAGATTTATTAAGACATTTTTCGATGGTAACTAACAAAAGTTTAGTTTCACTTTTCAATTTGGCAACCAAAACTAACTGAAAACAGAATTTGTCAAATGGTTTACAAAAATGTATTTTTTATGTATATAGCACATCAGCAGAGCTGAAGCTTATAATTTTCTTTAGGATACAAAGGGTATAGTAATATACTGTGCACCTCATGAAATTACAAGTGTGATCATTTTCGTTTCGGGGTTAGTAATAGCAAAATATAAACAGGTCATTAACCTTCTGGTCTAAGTATCTGATGAGTCAATGTATATTGCTATCGTTTATTTTTTTTTTTGTATTTGTATATATATGCGATAATAATAGGTAATATTGTAAGTTCGATTTTTAACACGTTTCTCAATACTCTTATCAGTTACTATCAATTTTAGTTTGGTTTCATTCGTTCTTTTTTGTGGTTTAGTGGCCACTGAGCAGATCTTATTGTATATTCTTTATTTAGTAATATTTATTCGATTTGCTTGCTTGTTTGCCGCTTCACCCGCGCGTCAACAAAAAATAACGTTCGTAGAATTTTTGCATCGCTTTACAAAAATATACAGTTATTATCAATTCATTATCGTTATTCCTCGCTTAAATCTTTTCTTTCTCTTCCCCTAAATCGTTTGTTTTATTATGGTTCGTAAGGCAAAGTTCGTGTTGATGTATTTGTTCTATATATAAATGTATGCGGTTGTGGGAGTGCGTAAATGTTTTACAAGTCGCCAAGTTCTCTATTTCTGTATCGTTCAACTAAATGCATAATTTGTCGTAATATTAATTCATAATCATAGTTGCTAGTGCCTTGAAATCACTAGGCAAGATGAGCTTCTACGCTGGGTTGACAAACACAAAAATAGAGCTAAACACAAAGTACAAAAAGAATAGACTATTTTACGGATAACATGGAAATTCGGTTCAGGCGGGGATGTGACATATGCATACAATCGGCGGCGGAGAAAGTGATCAGCTCTCAGCGCCTAACAATGCTGGAAGGTCGCGGCAGACCGCTCCGCTTTATTTGCGATGGTGGTCTCAATCCCGAGGGCTTCGGTATGCCGGTCGCTCCAGTGGTCACCTGGGTCAGCTTGGAGGTGAGCGCCTGCATGTCGAAGGTGTGCTGTGGATTCTGTTGAGGAACATTTCCGCCGTTAACGGATCTACCTGAGTCCTTGTGGCCATAGAGACTGCCGCGCGAAGAGGCTGAGGAGAGGCTCTGAAATAAATAGCGCCGAGATTAGCAGTTTCAAAATTTTGGAAAATAAGCACAACAGCTTGTACTTGATCGTTCACTAAACAAATCTTGCATTGGCTAACCTCAGGTGTGTCTGCCTCTGGTGCATTCTTTACACTCAGACTGTAATATCCAGACGAAGGACGAGCTAGGCCATTTGCCCCTGCTCGTTTCGCAGCAAGGCCAGGAGCACGCAGCCCGCTTACCAATTTGGGCACCTTGAATACAGCGGAATCGTCCTAGAAAAGCAAGAATATAAGACTTAAACCGGCCGATAATAGAACAATTTCTGGAACTTACCTCTTGGGCTTGAGCTGGTCCACGCAATCCGCTCATCAGTTTGCTAGGCTGCGCACTCGGACGCCGCAGTCCACCACCCAAACTGGGTCTTGGCAGGGCTCCAGCGCCAACGCCGCTTATCGTTGAGGACAAGTTGTGGAACGATTTGGATTTAATACCCATGGGACTTTTCAGCTCGCCGTTACCGGTGGCCGGCACTGCAGCAGTAGTCGGCATAGCAGCAGCTGGAGTGGCGTTCAATCCGGCTCCGGCGGAAGTTGCCTTGCTCACTGTAGTAAATTTTTGCAGACCACTGATGTAACGAGGCCTGGACAAGGAACGCGGTTGTGGAAGAGTCGACGCAGGCGCTGGCTCCGCTGCTATGGGCGCTTCCTGCTGCAGTGGACGTCGTTGGATTAGGCTCTTCTCCTTGGGTTTTTTGTAGGTCAGATAGTTACTCGCACTAGCCTCTGCGTTGTTGCTAAATGCTGTGCTCTGATCTCGACGAGAAAGGCGACCCGGTGGCGAACCCTGTCGCTGTTCCTCCTCGTACCGTACATCTTCTACTAATTGCTTTTGCTCGTCCTCGAGTTGCTGTGGTTCATCGTCTATACAAGGCACAATAATCTCCTGCTGCAGTCGCATGTCTTTCGAAATCTTAATGGTCTTGAAGCGATCGCGATCCCGCTCTCTGCGCTCCGGCAGCTTATAGCTTGACGGATCAGTCTCTGCTGCCACCTGGGTCTTAGGAAGCTCTTCCGCTGGCTCGGGATCAGGATCTGGTACAGGCTGCTCCACTTGCGGCATATCTCTACGCTGGACGATGAATGAGGCAGAGTTGGTGCTGGTTGAGCTTCCATTGCTGCCGTGCATTGCACTAAGGTTGACATCGTCGTAGAGACGGCTTCGACGACTGAGCAGGCGTTCGCCACCACCGCCGCTGCTGTTGCTGCTAGAGTGGCTCTGGTTTAGAACTGGGGTCTCCACCTTTTCGGCTGCCGACTGCACCAATTCTTCTTCATGCTCCTCCGCCTCCGGCTCATCTCTGTGGAAGCGCCGTTTGATGGTATCTAGGGACTTTTGCATCTTCAGTTGCTCCTCGTTTAGCGGATTAACCTTGCCCAGCTCAGCAAGCATATTCTCGAATTGCTCTTCGTCGCCCTGCTGGGCCAGCATCTCCACTTCCGCCTCGGCCAAGTCCATGACGCATTGCATCTGCCTGTGCTGTTCAGACATTTGCAGGTTATAAGTGCCATCCAGCGGCTGTTCGATCTGCTCCAAGAGCTCCATGGTGTCCAGCACGAACTTTTCGCCGTTGAACGGAGCTGTCTTTGCCACGGGCTCGAACGTGTTGTTTAATCGCCCTGGTGCTGTGCCAGTAGGTTTTTGCGGTGTGGCGTTAACAATTGGGGAAAGGTTCATATCTCCCCGTCCCTTTAGGGTAGGTGTATATCCTGCCTTGTTATTGTTGTTGTTATTGTGGTAGCAGTGGGAGCGCATGTTTGTTGTAAGAGGCGTGGAGGATTCCATGGTTAGCAAGGCCAGCTTCCTGTCTACATTTTCGGGCGTTTCACATCGGCCCTCAGGAGTGTTGCACGCGTCGGTAAAGGTAGTATTCATCTGCCGACCTGTTAGCACCTGGGTCTCGTCTGCTGAAGCCACACACCCAGTGGGTCTCTTGAACGTCGCATTTCCATCTACTGGCAGAGACTCCGACTCTGACTGCAGGGCAGAAGTTGTAAGGCTATCCACGAGGTTAAAAGTGGTGTCGCCGATCATCTCCTCCCCCAAAATCATGGTACGCTGTAGGGCTGGACAAACTGCCGGCATGACAGCGGGCATCGTTCGATCTGCGGCCAGGGGGATAGACATACTGTCTGTGCTGTTGTCCATGGTGCTGCAGCCGGAAGCCGTTTTGCTCAATGTCAACGATATTTCGTCGATTTGCCCGATGTGCGAGTCTTTAATAAGGGTGCCATCGTCCTCGCACATGGTCAGCGACTCCAGCGCCTTGCGATCCCGGATCATGTCACTGAGCGTATATCCGCCTATGTTGCCGCCTATTCCCATGTTATCAGTTGTCTGGTTGATTAGTGTTGTGGTTAGGTTTGGATCCTGCTCAAGACCAATTGTGGATTGGAGGAAGTTCAAGTTCGTAAAGTCTGCCGAGGTGATGAGTGAGTTGTTCATCCGTTCAGTGTTCATGGAGGAGCATATGGAAGACGGCGGTGAGGTGTCTTGCAGGAATGATTTGTGCATATTTGTCGTGACAAGACCGCCAATTTCCAACTGGAGCATTGCTGGGGTACCCGAGACCGCTCCGGTTCCAACACCGCTGTCATTTCCCGCTCCATTTTGGCTCTGAAAAAACAAGGTCTCATATTATACAAAATTAGGCTCAATTGCTTATTTGTACTTACGAAATCCAGGTTCCGGCGCTTTGGGCGGGTAAAAGTTTTTGAATTGTGTTTGAAGGCTTTCGTAAAATATAAAAGTTTTAAAATAAATTAGATCCTTGAGTTTCGTACTCGTTAATGTAATGAATAATAATGTATAGTGTCTAGGATTCTAAAAGCTATTTGTTTGTATTTTTAGGTTATATTTAAAAATCATCACATCCAATCAGGACGTCCTCATTAATGACCAGTTCGAAATTATCCTCATCCGACATTAAGATCTCCTCCATCTTTTCTTCCAAAGAATTTGTCGTGTTAATTAATCGGTCAATGGCTACTAGTGGTGGCATATCGTCGATGCTCTCACTGGGAATATCCATCTGGGAAGCTGAAAGGCTCATTTCGTGCACTGCCTTATTAAGAGGATCGAGCTCCTCTTCGCCTAAAAGGGGGCCTGAAATTTGAATTTTCCCTTTCGGCTTGGTTTTGCTGGGCAAGTTTGCGACTGGGACTGCAGGTTTATTTATATTTTCTACCGAAGGCTCGGTATTTAACTTATTAATTTCTGGTTTAAATTTAATGGTTTCCTTTCGCTCTGGCATATTGGAAGTTATGCACAGCATGTCGTTGGTTATCAGCCAGCCTGGGCTATTCAGAATCCGTAACACAAATGTACGCTGAAAGCGTCGCGGTTTCCAAATATCCGGGGATATCTCCTTAAGGTATCCTGTCAACGTAAAGATGCGTAGACTAGAAGTAAACACCTGGATGTCCAGCCCGACATTCTGAACGTCTGTAAGCATCAAAGGCAAGCGGCTTAAAGCGAGAAGCAACGCAGCGCTGCCCACTTGTAACTTGGCGTTATGCGCAAACGAGGATTGCTGGCGCTTCTGGTTTCTGTTGTACAGTTTGTAGGCATAGACATAATCCAGTTGTACCGGCACGCTAAGCGAGAAAATGGCCTTGTCGTCGTAGTAATCCTTAAGCTTGAAACGCTGTTGGGTATCGTCAAAGATATTGTAGTACGAACTTATGAAGCGTTGGCAAAACATTAAGCCATTAGTGCCACCGCTTTGAAGTCGTTCAAACTTCGGAAGATTATCAACAACTTTTGTATTTTCCTCAGACTGCACGCAACCATGGATATTTCTCAACTGGGGAAGCATATTTCGCATGTCGTTTACGCTTAGCTTGGCCAAACCATTGCCTGTCAAGAAGATGGTCTTGCAACTCAGCTTGTTGAGGTAATTGAGTTCTCCCAAATCTTTAATCCTGTTTGCGCTTATGTCCAAGCGCTCTAGGCTGGCAAAGCCTTGGGAAATTCCAGCAAAGGCTTTCAGAGAGCACAAATAATTGTTGCTCACTACAATGCTGGTCACCTGGGGAAATATATGGCTTGAGAGAACTAGCACGCTTTCTAGCAGCTGGACCACATGCAGCGGACAAAAGTACAGAGCCAACTCCGGACTGGCGTGGAACCTGGAGAGATCTAAGGTGCGTGTAGTCACTTCATAGCGTGATCTAATGGCCGCCTCCATGGCAGTTGTAAGTGCCTCGGTTATCTGGGCATTCATCACTGATTTAGGCAGACCGGGTGTGACGCGTACCTCGATTTTCTGGCACGTGTACAGGACGGCAACTTCCTCTTGCAAGCGTTTCAGGCGATTGGCGCTTAACAGGTTGTCCACTAGAAATTGTCCACGTGCCATCTTGTCTTCCGGTCCGCTGCGCTTGAAGTTGAATATCTCCACCTTGATGGGCATCAGCACCCACTTGAGCGCCAAAAAAATGGAAGAATTGGAGACGCCGGCGCAGTTGGCGATGTTCACCGTGGACCAGCCGGTCACAGTGACCATGCGGTGCTCCTCTTCGGTGGAAGAGATCGTGTCCAGCACGGATCCCATATGCTGTTCATTTCCAATTAGCTTTTGTACGTATTCTCGAATTTGACTTTTTTCATTCAGATTTTTTCGCAGATCGGCAAGCTGCGACTGTGAATTCACGTGCGCCTTGAGATTCACGCCCAGGCGGCTGCCCGGCTCGTGGGATTTGGAATTTTGGACCAAGATTCGCATCGTGAAGTTCTCAAGAAACGAATAGAATAACAAATTCTGTTGAAGAAATAAACTCCGCCGTAGTTAAATGCAGTACACACTACTACTACTCTCCGCAAAATGTACCGTTCTTTCGGTGTTGGTTAAGAGCTAAAAGACGCTTTGGCAAGTGATGTTTTGCAGCACTTGAAAAGCTAGGAATGCAAAAGCACTGGGTGCGTTCAGCACACCATTTGTTATTTTACCGTTATAATCGCAGTTTTATGCACTTACACGTCGTGTTATTTAAATGAAAATGTTATATTTTAAACTTACTGGAAAACTGCACTGAATGCATTATTTATCTATGTATACTGAGATTTACTCAAGTTTATATATATACATTTAGGGCAATAACTATTTAAGAATTTAAATAGTTTTATTAGAATTCTGGCTTTCCACTTCGGAAAATCATTGGAATGACAACATTTTGCTCGCATTAAATCACGTAATCGATTTTTGATCCTCGTCTTCAGTTCGGTGGTAATTGTTTATTTAAAGTGATTTACGTATCGCTCGATTGACTTTCGCTGGCTGGGCAGGAAGTAAATTGGATTTATATAATAATGTTCGCATATAATATGAGATTCTTGCCATATTAGCATAGCCAGTTTTTTCCTTCATTATTTTGCCGTACCACGCACAGCTGTTCGCAATGGGAGCGTGTGTGCATGTGTATGTGCGTTTGAGACTTGATTAATTACCGTAACAATAACATTGGCGCTGTTGCCAATTATGGCAATCGGCCACTTTGAAAGACAGCGGTAACTACTGGCCAAGTAAAGCTGCCCACATGCGTTTTGAACTTTGTCAACGTAGCCGCCAGTGTAACCCAAATTTGATTTAGAAAGCGCAACTGCATGAATTGCTGCACATGTGTGTATGTTTGTGTGCGAGTGGGTGCATCGGTATGCGTGGAAAAGGCTTACCCTCGTTGTTGTACTGCAAGTGCATTTGCTGCAACGGCGGCTGATTATTCGTCTTCCACTGCTGCAATATGTTGGAGACGTCATCGTGGGTCTTATCCGCCAAAAATCTGCCAAAGGAGTACCAGGCATATGAGTATTTATAGCATCGATGCCTCTGCCTGTGAAGTGCCAGTAGCAGCAGCAGCAGCAACAACAACAGGAACAGAAACAGAAACAGAAACAACAGGAGTGCATCACTCACATATATGAATCATCCTTCAGTGCCTCATCGATGTCCAGGATATCCATGTCCAGCGATGGGTGAAACTTTATGCTTAGCTTAAAAACACTTGATGAAGACCTAAATCATTGCCAGAAACGACAACAAAAAGGCCTTCGCTCGCTTGTCTGTTTGACCAATACAAGATACTAATTTTGCTCAAAGCTGATAGAGATGAGCGATATCTGCGAGTCCGTGACGAGTCACTGGTATTTTTAAGCCGATGAGTCACTGTTGTGGCTGTGACAGTGAAAGTGAAAGTGAACAATTGCAGCTGATGGAAATGTTAGATAATTTTAATTTATATACGAAAAAATTAATCACTGCTGTTATGTTATGTCATATGCTAAATACAAATTTTTATAACGTGATATAATTTGGTGAATAATTTAAAAATCATGTATAAGCTGATGATACATGATTTTCAAATTTAAATTTTAAATTTAAATTATGTATATGCTGATATACATTATTCTCTAAATAATTAAAATTCATTGAAAAAGTCTTAAATATAGTTTCACATACTTTTTAGATTTTATTTTAACATGATAAGATCTTACCTATCGACATCGCTGTTTCGAAGACCGCAGAACTGTTCCCAGTCACACGACTGGGAAACCTTATTAACTATCGGCTAATATCGGAAGCAGTTGACAACTCTGTTCGAATACGTTCACATTGACTACTTGGCAGGAAGGCAAGAGCCCAACATTTGTTGATTCTTTTGAAAATCCGGCCCTTGTGGTTGGGAGCTCGTCGAGAAAAATGGAAAGATCAGTGGATGTCAGCATGGGAAAGAACTGCCGAGCCTGTGCCGAACACTCACCCATACTGGTGGACCTCTTCTCCACGGAGATCTCTGATCCCCCCATTTGGGAAATGTTGAACACAATTCTGCCGGAGATCTGTCGCGTGAAACGGGATGAAATGCCGCAAAAGATCTGTCCTACCTGCCTGGTGGCCGCTCAAAATGCCTTTCACTTCAGGCACAAGTGTGAGCAGAGTTTCCAGTTCTTTTCCCAGCTCCTCCAGCTCGACAAATCTAACTCAAATCCGAGTAGATCCCGTTGCAGAAGAGGGGATAGGAACCTTTTAACAGCCTTCGAGATGGTCGGTTGCGAGGATCCTCTGGACACAAATGTATCCGAAATGGATGCTAATCGGCTTGATGTAAAGACTGATGTCGATGAGCCAACCGATGTGATAGCAACTAATGGTCAGGAGAGTGAACCGTTGCAAGAAGTTTTTGAAAGTAGGTCTAAAACGATGTCATACACTTTCACAAGAACTCCCATTGTATTACTAAAATCTATTCCAGAACTTGCTCCAATTTATTATTTATTTATTTTGTAGTAACAATGAGCGATATTAAAACGGAAGATGAAATATCAATTCAGGAGACCTTCGACGATGCCTTTGAAGATGAAAATGAAAATAATAATGAAAGCGAAGAGGAAGATTCAGATCAATGGACCGCTGGTTCGACTGAAGACCAAGATGAACCCTGGATTCCCGGCAATGGTGATCGCAAAACGATTGGCGGCAATAATCAATCACTGCTGTGCACTGAGTGTGGAGAGAGTTACTCGACGCAAAAGGCGTTGGCAAGGCACGTTGCCAAGCATAGGAAGCAAGGTGATACACAAAAGACGCACCTCTGCGACTTCTGCGGACGGGGATTTCGTACCAACGCCCAGCTAACGACCCACAGACGCCGACATACTGGAGAGCGTCCTTTTAAATGCCCCATCTGCCCGAAAGCTTATACCCACGGTCCGACTCTCAAGTCGCATATGCACACCCACGACGAGGAAAAGGCTCACAAATGTCCGCAGTGCGAAAAGACCTTTTACACGAGAGGCAATCTGAGGGCCCATATGCAGAGGCACACTGGCGAACGACCTTATAAGTGTCCCGACTGTCCACAAACCTTTGCCAAAAACTCTGGTCTTAAGTTGCACAGTCGGCTACACAAGGAAGACCGGCCCTTCAAATGTGAGCTCTGCGGCAAGGGATTTGTTCAGAACCAGCATTTGATCACCCACTTGCGGGTCCACAACGGGGATCGCCAGTTCAAGTGTCCCGACTGTGACAAGTCCTTCTTCGAGAAATCGAACATGATGAAACATCAGCGCACCCATTCGGGTATAAAACCCTTTAAATGTGAGGAGTGCGGCCAAGCCTTCTCGCACAACCATCACCTGAAGAGTCATCTACGCATCCATACGGGGGAAAAGCCCTACAAGTGCGACCAGTGCGGCAAGGGTTTCAGTGCGAATCAGTCTCTGATGAAACATACGCTTTGGCACGTGGATAATAATGATCGGCCATTTAAATGCTCTCAGTGCCCCAAAGCCTATGATACTCAGCAGAGCTTACGGGGTCACGAGAAGACGCATAGAAACCCGGATGAGCCAAAAACACTGCACCAATGCCCGCACTGCGACGTCAGGTTTGCCCTAAAAAAGACCCTGGACAAGCATATCACAAGTCACAAGATTCGGCCCCACCCATGCCCGCAGTGTCCAGAAGGGTTTTTCTCCCAGAAGAGCTTAAAAAAGCACGTGCGACTTCACAACCTGAAGAAGTGATACAATATCATACTTGCCCATCCTGAAATCCTACCATTGGACCATTAGATTTAGTTTTAGTAAGTGTTAAGTAGAAATAACTATTGAAGTTGTGTAAGTCATTAAATTTGAACAATCTGATGTTACTAAAAATCATTGTTGTGGTATAATCGTAAGTTTATTGGTAAGTTATGTTATTTAAACAATCTAAAATTTCATTGTCCGTTCATTAAGGCAAGTTTTGTCTGTTGCACAGTTTTCAACGTTTCCTGCGCCCTTCCGATTGCCAGCTGATGAATATTTCTATTTGCTATAACATAAATGCCATGCTTACACATAATATTTGCTTACGTACAGATTTTGATTTAGATTTTATTTTTGATTTTGATGAATCGCAACATTTTCTCCCGAGATATGGAGGCTTTTCAAGCCTCCAACATAAAGGCGCGATATGTTTTTTTTTTTTTTGATTATCAGTTAACAGTTTTGACCTCAACGGACCCAACAAGTAACACATTAAAAACATCTATAGCGATTCGAATTAGTTGTGGGGTCCATATGGGAATTTGAAAACAATTAAGGATAAACTAAATAGAGAGATAGAGACGATTTGTGTTTAAACATAGGTACGAGTACGGTTACATTACAGTAATTACAATAGGTACAATAATCATATCGAATATGCGGTAAGTGTTTAAAATTAATAAAGCGTAATTAGATAGATTTCACTACGAACAGAAGAAGGGCAATGCTTCCAGTATACAAATAACAATTAAGTACAGTACATATAATGCCTAGGCTCTCCGATTTGTGTGTGTTGTTTGTTGTGTATAAATATAAATATTAAAAATAGATAGATCCGTTCTACATCAAGAACAGGAGGGTGGCGTAGACCTTCCAGCGGGTCGTGAGGTTACTCCAATTATCGCTGAAATAAGCTCCAAAGCTTGTAGCTGGTCACGCGCTTGGCCAGATTGGCGGCGGCACTGCTGGGTGGCGATGGGGCGGAGGATTCGGCGGCCATCGCTCGCCGGTTGTTGATCAGCTTGGAGCGCATCTGCTCGTCGATCAGCTCATGCATGTCCATCTGCCACTGTTCCAGTTGCTGCGACAGCTCCACCTTTTGCTGAATGGACTCCAGCAGTTGGCTGTTGGCCTGCATCAGCTCCACTCGCGTCTTGGCCAGCTCAACCTCGGCCTTCGTGCGCCTATCATTGGCCGCATCCCGCTCCGTCTGCGCCTTGGACAGCAGCTCATCCCGATCCGTGTTGTCCTCGAGATCACCGCGTGCCTGGTCCCGCTCCTCCTTGACATTCTGCAGCTCCACGTCCGTTACCGTGACCTTGGCCTCCAGTTGCTGTATGAGCTGGTGACTGCGTTTGATCTCGTCCTCCTGCTCCAGCACCAGGTTGCGCGTCTGGTCCAGCATCTTCTTGAAGTTGCCAGCGTCCAGGTTGAGCAGCAGCCGGGTCAGCTCGTCGGACATCGACGACAGCATGCCCTGGCGGAACTCGATGGCCATGTGTCCATCCTCGTGGCGTTCCGAGCTCGAGATGGTGTTGTCTATCGACTCCAGCTCCAGCGATATGTCGGAGTTGAGTCCTGAAAACAGGAATGCATTTAAGTTAAAAAGCGTTCTTTATCCATAAACATTTTTAAAAATTAATAATTTTGTTATAATGGAAATGGGATAAATATAAGTATATTTTGAATATATTCAGACACTTTAGTGATTTTACTGTTCCGATATATTCTTTGGATTTATTTTTGTTAAATTTTTAAGCTACGTTCTGACTACTTCTATTAAGTTATCAATTGTTCAAAGGAACCCACCTGAGTCGTCGTCGTGGCTAACTTTTAGAGAATCCACCAGGGACTTCAGTTGAATGTAGACGGATCGGGCTTCCACAAACATTTGGTTGGGCTTCCCCGTTTCCGTGTAGCTGCCATCGTCCTCGTCGCATTCCATTTCGAATTGCAGACTCTTCCTGCCCGGAGTGCTCGAGTTTGTGTCCTGCGGTCAAGGATTTGGAGGTAATTTCAATTATAAATATCACATAAGGGTTTTGACTGGGTTTCTCGGTGTATACCGATTGATTAAAGGGGAAAATGCATGCTGATAATGTTTGCTTTAATTCTTGAAATTTCCTTATAATTTTGATGAGGTTTGTTAAAC